ACAGCAAGTAATCCGCCAATGCCTAGAGGAAAAAGGTGTAGATAGTCTGGCCTGTGCATAGAAGGACTCCAAACAAGTAAATAAAAAATAGAGAATAATGAAAGTATATGAACTAGGATCTATTGGGCACACCTGCACTAGGGTAAGTGATTATTTGTTTATGGTTTACCCTGTATATAAACTGCATTTTCCTATTTATACACATCTTGATAAAGACCTTTTGGGTCGAAATGTCGACCATTCATCTCATCACCAATACACTTGAAAGAAATCCATTGAGTGCTCTCTCCATTCAATTTCTATTAATGTATATAGATATATATATTATTTTGTTCTAAGTGTATTTTAATATCAATATATATATATATATATATATATATATTGGGGGCATGTCCTGAAAGTGGAACTGAGCAGACGCATGTTCTGAGTGCTCTGCAGTAACATGGCCTTCAAACAAGCAATTTTGGCTTTTAAGCCCCCCCAAAGCATGACCACAACATCTCTTACCAATATGTCCTAACCCAAGAGCAAGAGACATGTGGAAAAAGGGGATAAATCCAACATTTTCTCCTCCAGGACAGGGCAAGGAAAAAGCGATGTACCTCCAGATGGAACCCAAGATGGTGCCAACGAGGACCTTGTGCAGACCCAAAAATCTCCAGAGATGGATACATCACTCACAAAAGAGGTAATGAAAGCTATACTGGATGACATGTTGGCTAAGCTGCTGGTGAACTTCCAGACCTCATTCGATGACCTGCGCAGTGATCTTCAGGACTTAGGTGCTAGGACTTCGACCCTGGAGGAAATGATGGTGAAACTCGCCGAAGCACACAACCATTTGACGGTGTAAGGTAGAGGGAGTCATAACACAAATGGATTTCTATGAGATTAAGCTGGCGAATATCTAGGATAGAGCGCACCATAATAACCTCCTGATACGCAGAGTTAAAGAATCTGTGGGGCTGAATGAAATGGCGTACATCCATGCTCTACTAAAAATCTTGACACCAGACTTACCTCAAGACCTTTTCTTACTGGATCGATACCACCATATGGTCAGACCGCAGTTCCTACCTTCTGCCACTCCACGGGATGTCCTCATTCGACTATTATTATCATGCAAAGGAACTACCAACTGGGGGCAGCATTTGCTCCGTGGAAGCAGAAAAATATATTGTGTGTTATGTGTACAGGAACCCCCGAACAGAGACCGGCCGTTGAAACCATTTCCCTGAAACTGTTTGGGCTTCTACCTCGTGGCCGGCCAGTCAAAATTTTACTCCGGTCACGATTCCATAAATTACCGAATGGATCTAGGTGCTTTTTGGCCAACTTGGGTGCTCAGGTCAGGGCTATCCAGGGATATGACTCTTGTGGGGTTCCTATGCATTTTATGGGTACTTTTGGGACGTTGTATAATATTTTTTTATGTTTTCCCTGTACCTGAGAGACAATTGAGTTATAGTTTCTTGACTCAATTATTTCCAGACAGACAGGGACCCTAGGGAAGAGCTTGCTATGTTCCTGTATGGAAACCCCCTGCTATGGATCTGTGTATATATTGAGTGTTTTTCCTGAAATAAACAGATCTACTCCCAGCATTCAGTGCCAACTAATGTATAGGGGGAAAACTATACCAGCTATAATCACTTTCACAACTTGGTAGAGCTATTTCACACTGGGAAAGGGAGTCCTTGGTGGTGATACACCGGTGGTCAGCTAGTGGCAGTTCTTACTCTATTTATGGACATGACAAAAAAAAATGAGCCACAGTAATGCCAGTAATCACCAACCTCAAAAACATGATGGATGCCTTCCTGGAAAACAGGGAAGTTGTTCCTAGTGACACACTGCACACCAATTTAGTAGTAGTGATCCCAATACAAAAAGATATACTCAAAGCTGGTGTGAGCAAATAAGTTAATTTCCTTAAAATAATGCTAGCTCCCTGTGTATAAATAAAGAAAATAATAAAAAGGTGTGCACAGTGCAGTAAGAGTATAATTGAATTCATTCACATGGTACAGGGTCTTCACACAACAACAGACTGTCTTTTGACTGCATGAAAACCCTGCTTGAAGACCCTGTAGGTACCTTAGCCTATGAATGAGGGCACCCACAAGCTTTTAATAAAGAGCCTTTAACCCCTTAGGGACACATGATATGTGTGACATGTCATGATTCCCTTTTATTCCAGAGGTTTGGTCCTTAAGGAGTTAAATGGCACTGTATCATGTAAGTGGATCCAATTGTACTCTCACTGTTGTATTTCCATGTTATATATTGTCTATGATTTTTCTCTTTCTCTCATTCTGTTAAAACAGATTTGTTTATTGTCTCCCAAAAAGTTATTTCAAGGGGATGCATTACATGGTATGGATTTGTTGTAATTATATTGCAAAGCTTTGATCTTGTCAGGGTGGAAAGGATAAGTGGGTGGTCAATTATCCACTCAATTTTTTTATTTAATTCTTGATAAATCCCCTATCTTGAACTTAGAATTAATCATGCTCCTCATTTTTCATAATACAAGATATCAAAAGGAATGAGTACAATCACAATAAAACTCTCACATGCTACTTATTTATTTATTGTAGTGGCCTCCCTGATGACAAGAGGGGTTTTGCCACCAGAGATGTTCTTTTCCCCCTTATTGAGAGGAATGCTGTAGAGTAGAGCAGGAACAGCTCTTAAAAGAGCTAGTGATTATAACACTCCAAAGAGCAATCCCAAGAGCATAGCAGGTATAGCTTTCCCCTACAAGCATGAGACAAGGCTCTGTGTTGAGGGTAAACAGGAACTGGATTTTAATGATGCCACACTGGCTTTTTATGCAAGGGGTATGCCCACATGGACCTTGTTGGGGGACTCCAACACAAAGACACAGACCAATAAGAATAGTGATTAAATGCACGACACTCCCATAACAAACATACAATCCCTCCCCTCTGCCTTGGAGATAATTGAGTCAGATACTGTATCAATTCGCTCATCTCAAGGCAGAAAAAACACATATTTTACAAAAACCCCAAAGTACCCAAAAAACACATGATATCCCCACAATTGTTACATCCCCTGATATCCCTTATCTGGGTGACCAACATATCCAAAAATTAACCAGATCAGTTCAGCGGTTCAAGAATTCTAAGGAAGTCATATTTGCATGGGAACTGTTTAGGTCCCATGCCCTAAACAGTTCCAGAGAATCAGGCTGTGAGGCCGGTCTACTTTGGGGATTTGAAGTATGGTTCGAAATACCAAACATAGCTGTTCGTGGATAAAGTCAGTATATGTCACTTCTTTTTACCGAACGCCGTTCAACTCCCGTTCAAATAGCCGAACATCCATTGAAGGTAAAGTTTAGCGGTGTTCACTAGTGTCCTATTTGAGTTCCATGAACTTGATGACCAAGCTCCGCTCATTGTACTCGCGGCTTAAGATGGCTGTCGCCACATGGTCGAATGGCACTTCGAATGGCTTCGGGAGTTCGGTAGTTCAAAGTGCCACTTCGAACTGCTTCAGAAACCGTATTTCTTTACCACAGGGCCATAGTCACAGGGTGATCCATCACATTTATTTTCTTTTAATTCTTTATTTTTGCTGTGCATATGTGTTATGCATGCTTGCGATGCGACACCAGTTATCACAGAACATTGCACATTTTAAGGTTAGTATTGTAGGATATGACAAACAAGCTAGGTCTATCACATTTAGACTGAAAAAATGTTTCATTCAATAGGTCATACGGGTCCAGGCTTTAAACATTGGATAACAACAAATAGTGATTGCAACGCATGTGTAGGCACTAACAGAAGGAGATAATATACTACATATTATCCGGTAGTAACTCTGGCTTGGGCCTAGGAGAAAGATAATTGTATTTGGGCGGTCCCATCCTGATTAGTTACTTGCCCTATGAGCCAGGTATTCACGCGTGTGGTATGAGTGTGGTCTACGATCCCTAACCAAGGAGAACACGGGGGGTAGAGAGAGATGGTGATAGCCCCTGTATTAGCCCTATTGTGGTGGTATCAAGCGTAAGGTGTGGGATACCCACTGGTGGTCATGATAGCCATTGGTATAACCCACCATGAAGGGAGAAAACTATAAAACTGGGAGACATATTGATGGAACATAAACTTAAGTTACTAATAACTTCTTTATATATTATCTAAAGAAAAATAAAAACATCTGTGCCCATGCACTCTTTGGGAACGTTTGAGTCAAGTTGCTGGTACTAGGTACGAAGGAGACAGTCCTTGTTGGATCCCATTTGTGAGAAGTGGTAGGTGTGTCAGGGTAACCAGTTCCCATTGGGAGTCCCAAAGCTTGAAGGAAGGAGTCCACTTCCTTTATAGAGGAGACTTTCAGAGTGGTGGTGTTGTGCTCAACCGACAGGATTTTAGGTATTGTCCAATGGTAGGTCATACTGACTTCTTGTAGTCGGCGGGTCACTGGGTCCAGAGTTCTCCTCCACTGGGGGGTGGATCTGGTTAGGTCCTGATAGAAGGTGAGATTGACAGACTCAAAGTCAAGCAGTGTTTTGACTTTCACAGCTGTGAAGATATTATTTCTGTCTGTTAGGATTTGGCAAAGAGTTTGGCACTATCCAAACTATCTCTGGATGCTAGGAGAGGTGCCTGTCTCGGTTTGGTTATGTCAAAGATTCCTTCAAAAGCTCGCTTTTTTGCCTGTGTATGTGGTAGTAAGGTAGCACAGAGGCATCTGAGGTAGTGTGGCAATTCCAACTGGCCTATTTCATCAGGGATGCCCCTGATTTTTATATTTATTCTATGGCTTCTGTCCTCTGCAGCATCTAGACTACTGAGCAGGGCTGACTGGGAGGATTGGAGTTGCAGCACTGTTTCTTTAAGGCCCCTCACTTCTTGTTGTATGTCTGTTATGTCCTCCTCTGAGGCTTTCATACGGTCGGTCACCACTTGGACCTCTGTCCTCATTAGGGCCATGTCTGCAGCTGACATCTACTTCAATTCTAGTCAGTGGTTCCTAATGTCCAGTTTGGTAGCCGGTGTCAGCACATCAGGGTCTATCTGCTCATCCAGGGATGACTGTGGGTCTGTGGTATCCCCCAGGGCTTGCTCCGAGCATATGGAGCCCGTGTCTGGATCAGGCATGGCAGCCATCTTTGGGGCCGCGGGGCGCTGCAGCATTGCGCCTATGTCGCCAGCGCCTTCACACGCACCTGTAGCTATTCGCTGGGATTTCCGTCCCATGTCTGCTGAGGGTTCGGATGTCCAGTTCTCTGTGAGTGGTGAATTGAGGGAATACAAAGGCTGTGTAAGCGGGTAGGCCTTAACTTTACGGTGCACCTTCCAGCCCATCTGCAGGAATAAAGGGGGCATCAGTCGATCGCTGGTGCTACCCTCTCGCTCTGCCTGTTGGTCTCTTGGGCTGATTTGGTTTGTAAGTCTATAATTGCCATTGATTTTCCTCTGTTTTCCCACAGCAACCAGGAATGGCGTCCCCTCGGTTCAGTGGCTTAGCTCCACCTATTTACTTATTTTTAAAATCCAGATATGCAATAATTTAATTTTAGCAATTCTTAATTGGCATGGCAAAATGCCAATAGCATTTGCTTTTATACATCCCTCTATAGACCTTCCTTGTGTAGATGGCTGGTATAAGTGTATCTGTATAACAAACAGACAATTCAACTGAATGGTGTTGTTAATAATTCCCCTTCTTTTACATGATTTATTGTATGTAGTCCAGTCTCTTGTTTCTCAATCTTATTCAACTCTGATAGACAATGCCATCATAGTCTGAGCTTTAAAATATTTTTTATTATTCCATTTTCAGAGACCTTTATGTCAACATGAAAAATATACTAATGGTTCAAGTGCCTGATATACATAAAAACAACGATGACTGCAAACTCAAAGACAAATAACCCTCTTATCTGTCAACAAGGAAACAGAAGAACTTGAAATATTAGTTCAGTGCCACAAACAAATCATACTAAGTTCAAAGTCATCCAGCAATATTGTATAACTGTCATCTGCCCGACTCTATAAAAAAGAAATGTGATATCTTTGCAACCAATCTATTTTATTGTGATATTATTTGATATAACATCCAAAAACCCAATCCAGCGCCCCTATTTCACTAAACAATGCTTTCAAATCTCACAGATTATAATAGTTTTATTTAAAAATAACTCACCTAGGCAAAAAATAATGGGGGTTTAGTTACATTATATGATCATATATTGCATAAGCCTGCCACAACGTCAATGTACCCCATTTTTGTCAGGTCCTACTCTAGCCGCCTAATGCTGGCCCTTATGAGATTAATCCACTTATTTGGGAACTACTTCCTCCTGAGACTCTCTACAGGTCCAGGCTAATTAGGATCCTGGAATTAGGCACCTGTTACAGAGAGGTGTGCAAAACTAAGGAGTTGACCTGGACTCCCAAATTATATAAATGAAATCAAGAGAGCTGCACATTGTACAGAACAAAGTGTGGAATAGTAATGTTTTTTTGTCAATACAGTAAAAAACTATCCAATTCAGATATTATATCCTGCAATATACAGCTCCTCTATCAGTTCTCTGCATTTTCTGATTTAGTAAATGTGTCAAGCTAAATAATTGAGAAAACAGTTGTTAAATTTGGTATTTCATATAATTTTTAAAGAAAAAATATGAATACTTTTTACTGTCATTAATATTATTTATTTGTAAAGAAATGATTGCAAATAATTATTAGTGTATAGTCTGCTACTCATTTATACAGACTAGTTGTTAAATTGTGTCCTGTAATTGTAATTGGATTTGAAGATTTTGAAAGTTAATTACTTGTTTGCATGCTCTCAAATTAACAGTGCTTTAGGAAACATGTCAACAAATGCCAAATTAATCAGAAAATATAAAGAGAGAAATTATAAAAATTCACTCATTTTGTTTTTCAATGATTACAATTACCACGGAAAACTGTTTTTATATGATTATTTTTTTTATTATTTGTACAAAATGAATCTGAGTTAGCATAAATTCTAAGCTTTGTGAAACGTGTACCTCAAAAAAATCTAGAAAGCATTTATCATTTTTTTACATTAATATTTGAATTGCAAGTAGCAGTGGTAATAATAATCGTTAATAAAATGCCAACAAATGTTTCAATGCTGTATTTGTACAAAACAACAAAAGTGTATTTGTACAAAACAAAACAACAAAAGTTTAATCAGAGGTTAAACATATTTTATTTATTTATCATTCGAGACTGTATTCTTTAGCCAGTTGCAGTTTTATAATTAAAAAAAAAACTGACTGCATCAGTGCTTTTAATGTGCAATCTGAATCTTTTCATGTTTTAGAATAGTGTTAAATGATGTCCAGTTATTGTAATTGGATTGCAAATTTCTATTGAAAGCAAATTATTTCTTTTCAAGCAGCCAAATTAAAAGCATTTTTTGAAACTCATTGAAACTCATCAACAAAGGTCTCCAAATTAATGAGAAGGTTTAAAGAAAGAACAATTTCATCTCATTTAGTGTGCTTTAAAACAGATAATTTACTGTAAAATTATAGAGAAACAATGACATACAAAGAAAGCCAAAAAACACATACAGCCTTTATTTTTAAAATGTTGACCAAAAAAAAATGGTACTTATCAAGTCATATCATGAATATGACATCTGCAACTCCATTTACTTTTGCCCATAAGTCATATCATGAAATTGTGAATATGAAGGCTCTTGCTGTGCCACATCATGAAGGACTCCAGCTGTGTAGAATAAATGCTTCATATGACGTATAAACAAAATGTGTCCAACTAAAACTGTATGCCAGACTCTCATACTCTAGAAAACCAAATGATGTCAAGTTATCACCTACATTTTCATCCCATACATGTTAAGGTAAAAGATTATTTTAGCTATTTACATTTAAAAAGCACTTTCAACATATATTGAAAAAGTAGAATGTGGAGATAGAAAAATTGGTAGACTGACCAACAGATGGACATACAAAGAGACAGACACACATATAGATCTAAACATGTAAGTGTATACTTCTATTGTTATGTTGTGCAAATCTTAGCAGTATCCCACAATGAGACTGGCTCACGCCAACATAAACACTTCACAGACGTGTTTTAGGTTGGCTACTATTGGATCCAAAGTCACAAATACTTGGTAAGATTTTTCAAACAAAAATGTATTCAAATACTTAAAGTTTTAGCCCAAAACAAAACCTGATAATGTCCATGACCATCTTCCTCTCTTTCCTATTACCTTGTGTCACCACCACTCTCACATATTAGTATTGATCTATTGGTGGGATCTACATAATCTAGGGACATAGAGCATTTAACTGGCTATTCGCAAGGTTTTTAGAGGAGTAGGTATATGCTTATTCTTACAAAAAGATAAGTCCTGCGCTCACTCTCATCACTCCTGGGTGGCAGCAACGCCCACAGTACACATCAGCCCCAATATATAGTAAAAACCAAAGAAAAAAAGTTACCTGCACTCTCTCCTTAATCCCTATGTATATTTAGACAAATGGAGGTCATTTAGCTACTCAAATGGCCATTGAAGAGAATGCCCACCTGCCAATGTCAAGGCAGGCCCCCCTAAGCAGGTCCTACACTGACCCTTCACCTTGTTTCTTTGAGCTTCTGGCAAAGATATCTCTAATGAGACAGAGAGGGGTATTTTTTATATACACTGTGATAAAGTGAAGGCAGAGAGGCCTTTAACATTTAACCCCAGGGGAAGTACGTTTTGTATGTGTGGTGTGCAACACAAAGCTACGTTTAGTTATGGGCGCCTGGGGTGGAGCATTTGGAGAGCAGGGTGGGCCAATGTTCCACTCCTCAGTTTATACACAACTGGGAGAAATAAGGTCCAGGCCAGACGTTTTTGGAACTGTCTCCAACCCACTGCTCAGCTGCAGATAATCAGCTGTAGCAGTGGGAATAAACCACTCCCTGCTAGGCAGGTAAAGGGGGATTGCTGGCTTCCTCCCTGGAAGCAGGTAGGAGAGAGGCTGTTCTCTCCAGTGAGAGAGTCAATGAGACTAAGCATTGGGAGTGCAAAAGGAAAGCAGTCAAGGCTGGCTTGGAGCACTGGGAGTGCAGAAGGAAATCAGTCAAGGCTGGCTTGGAGCACTGGGAGTGCAGAAAGGAAGCAGTTAAGGCTGGCTTGGAGCATTGGTAGTGTGGAAAGGAAAGCAACAGGCTGACTAAGCACTGGAGTGCAGAGAGCTGACAAAGACTCTAGGTTGGTAAAACCAATATTGTTTTGTTCTATTTTAACCCCTGAGAGATAGGGAACCTGAAGTTAGTAAGTGCTCAGACAAGCTAGGTTTTTGTTTTATAGGGATTTGTGTTATATTTATGTTTTCATTTGCTGCTGTCTCCTGTGTGGACTTACAAATAAAGTGCCCAGCTTATATGCAAATAAAAGGACTATGCCTGTTGTTTACCCTAGAGGACTGTGCTATCTATGAACAAGGATCACAACACCCCTATATACTTATTAACACTTAATAGGGAACACATGGGATGGGCGGCAGCATTGTAACAAAGCTGTGTGATACAAAGAGTGAATACAAATATGTTTATTCTTGCCACGTCTTCCTGCTGTTGTTTTAGTGCATTATGAATTTCAGTGTGATAGTGCAGTGAGTATTCACACTCTCAATGATTAAATGCTCACAGGAACAACGCTAATAGTGAAGCTAGAAGTTTTTGCTTCTGAACCTCAGCAGCAAATACTTCAGTGCTGGAGTTAGTTACAATGCACAAATTTCATGCAAATCGAGTCTAAACATGGCTAGATTTGGAACATCTGCATTTTAAGCTCACTAAGTAATGCATATAATATATGCCAGCAGTCAGTCAGTAGTTTCACCTCATTTCTGATACAGACAAGAAGTTTGGCAATTCTGCTCCTATTTATTGGTGGTTTGTCTCAATCATTTTTACTACCTCTTTTGAACCATGTAAAAGGTGAAACCAGTTGAACCAGACCATTTGTTTCTACAGTCTGTATTGTTTCTGCTACCTTTTAGGGATTGGGATATAAATAACACAGATATAATGTGTTCATGAATTCAGTATTACTTTTATTTCTCTTTAAATAGCTAATGTTACAATAAATGTAATAATTTTACATCTTCTCAATGAGTCTTACGCTCCATGAAATCAGCTAACTTTAAAATATAGTTTAATCCCATTGGTATATCAACTCTGTCATGTTCGACTTTTGTTAAAAGAACATTCTTTTAACAAAAGTGTATTCTTGACACTACAGTGTTAAAAACATACCTTTATTCCAGCGCTGCACAGGTCCGTAAAGGCTGGCTCCGCCCCCG